CAGCTTTTGTTGAATTAGGAGTATGTATTAGAGCGGTATTAAATTTTATTTAAATATCATTAGAGAGAATCTAGCCAAAGCCTGATTTGATAGAAGGTGTTTGTGAATAATAAATAGATGCATTAGTATAGAAATATAAATCATTTTGAAGTAAGTTAGAGAGAAGGTTATGTAATTTGATAAGCTGTTCTTAGTATATAGTTGAATTAAGTGTATTTTTGATGAGGGCTATTTCTATATTTGAAATTAGAATAGTAGGTAGTAGTAAGGTTTGGTTTTGAGTATAGAGTTGTGTGGAGATAGTAATAAGATCTTTAATTTCAAGGTTATCGATAGATAGTTTGAAGTTTAATTTTTCTTTTTGGCTTTTATATTTGATGTTTAGGAATTGGTTTGGTGTTGTGTTTAGAAAAGATTATAAGAGTAAGATTATAGTAATTCTATTTGTTTGAGAGATAATATTATATTTTTGAAAAGTTATATAAGTTAGATGATGAGTTATGATTTTTCTAATAGAGTATATTTGATTTGATGAGTAGATAGACCAATTTGGTTTGAGTAAGGTAGTAGGAATTATTATTAAGTCAAGTGTGTTGATGAAAGGATTTATGAAGAGATTAAATTGATATTAGCTTTTAAGAGTATTGCAGATTTCCTTATACTATGTAAGTATGCAACCTCTAAATATTTTATTTATGCAAAGATAGATATTATTTCATGGTAAGAGATTTGAATTATTTGCAGTAAGAAGTTGTTTTAAGAAAAGAATTTTATTATTTTTAAGGCTAAGAGTTGTTGTAAATTTATAAAGATATAAAAGAAATTTGTATATTAGGCTTAGTTGATTGTAGTTTGTAGTTATATTTGTAGAGTTTAAGTTTAAATTGTTGATTTCTATGTTGTTGTTTGAGATTGAGAGTAGTTGAATAATTATTGTAAAGTTTTGAGTTTTTCTTTAGTATGTTGAAAAAATATCTTTTGAAAAGTAGAGGTACTAAATTAAGGAGAGCTATTCATTTATGCGAAGAGTTGATATATTTTTGAGGATATAGTTTGAGTTGAAAAAACATTTCAAGTTGCTACTACTTATATTTAAGAGAATTTTTTCTAAGGTAGGAGTATTTAGTAGTTGCGGGTTTGTTAGAATATTATTACTTGTATTTAGTGAAAGATTGAGTAATTGTTTAATTTGTTTTGTAATTGTTGTTGAGAGTTTTTTTGTTGTTTGTTTGTTTAAAGGAATAATTTGGAGTAGATATTCTAGTAATAGTGCTAAGATAGTATTGAATAATGAGATAATTTGTATTAGTAGGAGTTTTTTGAATTTGATTAGTTTGCAGAATTGGTTAATTTTGTTAGTAATTAGTTTTAAAGTTGGTTTTGTTGTTCTTTATCCATCATAATAGATTCCAAGGTATCTAATTATTTCTTCAGGTTTGTGAAGATGTATTTGTTGGTTGTTAAAGAAGATTTGAGATAATGATGTAGATTGTGTTTTGTTTGGAGATATATAAAGTAAGTGTAATTTGTTTAGATTTACTTAGATGTTATTTATTTAGTAGAGTTTGGTAACATCATTTAGAAGGTTTTGGAGGTCTGTTGGGTTTTTGCAGTACAATATAGTATCATCCATGAAGGCTAAAGGAGGTATTGTGATTGAAGATAGGTTTATTTTATTTTTTAATTATCTAAATATTTCTATTTTAACAAATACTAATAACAGACAATCTATTACTATATCAGATCTTTATATATCTCTGAAAAAAATTTTTCAATACAATAATCTCTATAACTCCTTTAAATACTAATTATAAACTAAACAAATTTTATTTTTTGAACAATTAACTTCTGCTAATAATAATATTCTTTCAGACTAGACTTATATCTTTTCAAGACTAAATTACTTATCTAAAGGCTATAAACCTAAATAGTTTACAACTTTAGAGACAATAATCTTAGATAATTCTCTTACAAAAATTATCTTAAACTAATTTTAGCTACTAACAAATAACTCTCTTATTTATGCTACTAGATACTTTAACACAAAAACTAACATCTGAAAAGTAAAATAGGTATAAATCTACACAGATCTGTAAAAATACAAAAAAAGTGCAGATTTTTATAAAATTTTTGATAAAAATCTGCAAAATTTTAGAAATTTACAGATTTGTGTAGAATTGCATTTAATTTCTGTATCTGTCAGTAGCAGACCCAAAGATTTACAAAGATTTTTATTAAATTTATTATTTAATTTTTTGCAGATCTATGCAGAACAGCATTAAAATTAATTTCCTGATGAAACCTTGACTTATAACTTATTTGTTATCTTCAATAATAGTTGTTATTAGTAAAGCATAATGCTTATATTTAGAAAGAAGTATAATATCAATTATTTATTAAATATTATAATCTAACTCTTAATTTGTTAACCTTTATCCTTACTCAAACCTAACATATTTATTCTATTAAGACTGTAGTATAAATTTAAAAAAAGTTACTAACTTATATATTTTTGAAATTTTAGCTACTCTCTTAACTAAATTTTTTGGTCAAAAAATATATACAAACTCTTCTAACAAACTTAAACTCAATTCAAACTATCTAGATCTTTTATATTCTATTTTATTTTATAATTTTTCTATTATTTTTCTACTTTTAACTTTACAAATAACTCTATCTTCAATTACTATAATCTTTAATTCTAATAAAGCTACTTAACAACTTGAAGCAATTTATCAAACAAACTATAACTAATAATAATTTGTTTTCTATACTAATAAATTAGTTATTTTTTTTTTTATTTTTTTTTTTTTTTTTAAGCAAAAACCATTCTTGGTAATTTTATTGATAATAATGTGTTATTACAACATTTTGCAGTTAATATATTGTTATATGTTCTTAACTACAGCTATCTAATTTACTCAAGGATCAGACTACTTTACCTGTAGTCTGAACTTAATTCTAAGCAGACTAAGTTCTTGTCTAGACTTCAATATTTATTATTGATAATATGTTTATGCCATCCTGTATATATTTTTTCGCCCATTTGTCAAGTTTTTGGTTTACTTCCTGGTCTTTTTCTTTAGTGTTTTTAATGTCTTCACATGGGTTGCTAGTCTTAGGTATAATGTTGGGGTTGGTAGTTATTTTGTTATTTGATCTTTGAGTATTTTGGTGAAGTTGGGTATTTTTTTGTTTCTAGATTTCATTGTATAAGCCTTTGGTTACTTTGTGTAGTAGGGTTCCTGTATCCTTGTCTTTTCTTGTAATATCTTTGAGTTCTTCTAGTAGATCTGAGCTGATAAGATCTTGCAGGTTGTGTAATGAGCTGATGATTTTATCTACACTTGTTTCGAAGTATCAGGTAGTGAAGTCTTTTATTTGCTGAAGGGACATCTGCTTCTCTTTTTTAATGATTTTTTTCTGTGCTTTTTTTATTGTTTTATGTATTATTTCTCTAGCTGAAGATTTGTTTTCTTAGCATGTTAACCAGTGTGAGTTGTTCTCTTCTTTGTCCTTGCATCTGTAGCACATTGGGCTTGGATTTTTTTCTTTATTTCATTTGTAGAGGTTAGTTGCTATTGGTAGTTCATTAAATAAGAATTTAATTTTGAATACTTTTAACGCAGAGTGTTTGGGGTTAGTTTTTCTTGTTGTTGGTATAGCATTAATATTAAGGTATTGGTATAGAAAACTCCAATGAGAGCTTGTATCCCAGTAGCTAGCTCTATTGGTTGAATACTAATAGACTACTTGTTTTGCGTTTTGGATATTGCATATAAAGCATCTTGTAGTTAAGTATACTGCAGTATTATACCATAGCAGTGTAGTTGTATTGTAGCCTGATTTTTGTAAGTCAATAGCTGTATTTGTGGAGTTTTGAAGATCATCAAAGCTTTTTGTTCCTTTTATATACTCTGAGTTTGTCTTATCGAGTATTAGTAAATTAATTTTGATGTTTTTCTTTTCTATACTAGTGGCAATATTGTTCCAGAATTGCCAGTACTTCTTTTTTGCTAATTGGTTTTTTGTTTGTATGTTCTGAATAATAGTTTGTAGATTAGTTAGTATGTGTTTGTTTGTAGTTTAAATTGTTATTGTACTACTTGCAGGTACGACTGCTATGATTGTTGTGACTACAATTATGTTTGCTATTATTTTTTGCTACCAAGTATCTACTCTTTCTGTGTATATGTGCAAAGTAGATTTTATGTTCCAAGTAAAGTAATATTGGGTTTTCAACTCCTCTTGTGCTTTTTTATTATGATTATAAAGCTTAGGTTTTTGTCATTTTTGATAGCGTTCACTATTGTTATCAGGTCTTGTTATGTTCCTATATTAGTAAATATGTTGTGAATTATATTATGAGAGAGGTAGCTTTTTTTGTCTATAGGTCTGCTATCTATGTTGTTGTTATCTTTCAAGTTTTGTTGTTCAAAGTATTACTTGTTTGAGTGATAGATTTAGGGTGGCCATATATTTTCTTGCTACTGCTTACTGTTACTAGTTTGCATTAGTTTAGTTTAGCCTCAATTGCACATTTTCTATAGTAAGTTGCCATAGATAGCTTGCATCCTCTGCATTGTTGAAGTTTTTGGGCTTGGTTCTCTTCATTCCTCTTTAATATTTTCCAGTGTATTGTAGTTATTTGTTTATGTAGTTTGTAGGCAATAATTTTTCTAATTATTTGTGTATTTTGAATTCTGTATATTACCTATTCTTTTCTCTTCTCATGGGCTTCGATCGAGTAAAAAGAGTTAGGTTGGACAAGTTTTACTCCTTCCTTTTTTGTAATAGTTGTTAGTATTATCTCTGCTGTTGTTTTATACTATTTTGGTTGTTTGCCCTTTAGGATTTTTTGCATTGTATATACTATTTAGTTCCATTCTATTACTGTGGTGTTGTTCATGTCTGTAAACTGCTCTATGTAGTACAGTTTATGCTTGTTTAACTTTTCTTTTAGTTTGGTTTTTTGTTTGTATATTTCTGAATTTAGTGGGTCATTTAGTATCAGGTTGATACTTGTACCTTTCTGTTGGTGTGTAATAGGCTATAGTGCTAGCAGGTTTAATAGACTGAAATTTGACTTATGCAGTAGTATAATTTGTTTTGCAGTTGTTATATTATCTTCTGATTTTGGGATGACTATTGTTTTCGAAATTAGAATTGATTCATTTGATACGACAGTATCCTGTATCTGTTGAATTCTGATTCTGAGTAATTGGTTCATGTTATTTTTGCTGTTTAGTTGTTTAGTGAGTAATGATATATGGCGTTGTGTGATAATATTCTACATTTTCCTTAGGGCGTATAATTTGTAGTTATGTATTATAGCATTAAGGATTCCACGTAGCAGACCTGCTTTTTGTTTGACAATTGTTGTATATCAATCAGTTATTTTATTGCATCTGTTCGTATTGAGAATGTAGTTTTGTGATCTGTATTCAAACTGTGTTAGAATTACTGAGTTGATTATATAAATTGTTTGTTTTTCAGTTATAGTTGCTTTCTTAAGTAGTTGCAGTGCTTTACTTATTTCTTTTTCTATTATTTTTTGTACTGCCTTTTGGTGATTATTAATTGTAAACTAGCAACCTAGAAACTGAAAGTGTGTACTTTGTGTATTTGCATAGATTATTTGGTCATTGAAGGTAATACTTGCAGTAGGAGCTGTTTTCAATATTGTGTTTGTTGCGAGTATTGATTTATTTGAGTTGACCTTGATGTTGGCCATGTTGTAGAAAGATTGAGCAGTTTTTATAATGGAGTTGAGTTGGGTTTGGTTATTTGTTACCTATAATGTATTGTCCATATACACAAGTACATTATAAGCTTGTATTGTATTTGGTTTGCCATTAGTTGTATCTGTTGTAGTTGTTAGTATATATAATCTATAAGTTCTGTTGATATTAGCAAGGAGGGGGTCATAGTATACTCTCCACAATAGTGGAGTTATTGTCTCTTCTTGGTCTATGCTGTCTTGCACATTATATGGGTTTGTATTGCTGAATGTTATAATAATTTTATTTTGCTGTGTTGAAAGAATATTCACTATCAGATTTGTTATCATTCTAGGTATTTTAATCTGTTCAAGAGCTTTTTTGAGTAAGGGGATGTATACAGAGTTATACGCTTTGCTCATGTCTTAGGAAAGTATCCATAAGCTTTTTTTGTTTATATTTGCATCTTCTATGATATGTTGTAATGTTTGTATTGGTATAGCAGTAGATGTGTTAGGTAATGCTACATAGTTGGTTAGATCAAGTATTTCATATTTGGCAAGGACAGTATTTAGTCTTCTAGTTATTATTTTCATTAAGATTTTTCATGCATGTTCTATTAGTATTATTAGTCTTGTCATTTCAAGTTCTCCTGTAAAGACTGGCCTTTTTGATATTAGGTATATTGTACTATTTTTCTATGCTTTTGGTATGTTCTGTGTTTTTAGACACAGGTTTAGAGTCATCAAGAGCATGTTGAGTACTTTAGTTTCTAGGTGTTTTATCATTTCATTAAAGATTTGTAATAGTCCTGCTGCTTTGCTGAGTGGAGCTTCATTTATAATCTCTTTAAGCTCTACGATATCTATTGGTTTTGTGGTTTCATCGTACTAGTTTCTTCTTATAGTTTCTTTTTGTTTATATTCTTTTTCCCATTCAGGCCAATGTACCATATTAGTAGGATTATATTTTGTTCAGTTATCGAAATATTCTTTTATCTTTTCTTTGATTTTTGTAGGGTCTGTGATTAGACTGTTTTCAATACAGATATTTTGTATGTTTACTAGATTCGTATGTTTTTATATGATACTTTGGATCATTTTGGATATGTTTTTAGAGAAGTTTTGGTAGCATCTTTGTATTTTTTCTTTGATGTCTTGTGTTTTTCTGATTTTGTTTTCAGTATTGCAAGCTTTAGTGATTTCTTTTTTTTCTTTTAGGAGTATTTGAAATATGTTAGGAAGTAATTCCGTATCCACTATTTCTGGTACAGTTTCTTTAACTGATTTGTTAATTTGAATGATTTTTTGGTTGTACCATTCTCTATCAATCTGTGGTATATTAGTCTCTATATGTCTTAATACAGACCTAATATTCATGAGGACTTTATATGTTTTGGTTGCATAGTAGTTATGTTTTTTGATAATTGAGTAGTTTATCTTTCTTGTTATATTAGGGATATCTTTTTTTGCTCTTTCTATTATTGCTACAGTGAGTTTATTCCATATTTTGTTTAACTGATATGTGTCTTCTGTCTGTTTTTTATCTAACTTTGAAGTTGTTGTATTATTGATTAGTTGTTCTACCTCCTTATTGAATTGCTTCCATTTTTCCTTAGTCATTTCGTTGTAGTTGTATATTCTTCTTTTATGAGTACTCTTCTGTTGTATATGTGGTATTTTGTCTTGTATGTTCCATTGTGTTTGTATGATACAATAGTTGCTGTCTGTAATATGTGTTGCATTGATAATTTGTGGTGTTGTGAATTCATTAATTTGTATTGATGAGATCCATATCTCATCTATTTGGCTGCTAGAACCTTTTGCATTCTATGTAGGTATATTTGGTGTCAGGGTGTAGAGTAGTGGGAGTATATTATTCCTCTCCATATATGTAATGAGTTAGAATTTTTGTTTACATTTTTTTAGATCTATATTGAAATCTCCTAGGATTATTAGTATCATCTCCTTACTTGTTGCCTGTTTTGTCTACATAATGATTCGATTTTGGGTCTTTGTATTTAATATCTTATCATTAGGTAGATATACTGAAATAATTCAGAGTTTTATCTTATTTGGGAAGAAGAGATCAACACTTATTGCAGTGCTTGGCTCTGTTTGAATATTGTAGATATATGGTTAGAGAGTATGTTTTATTACAATTGCTGTGCTAAGGCTTGTCTCTTGCCCCTTTGTATTTGTTGAATTGTTGTTTGCTGTATATATCTTGTACTAGAGGTTTTGTAGCTCTATTTTCTCAAATTTTGATTCTGCTAATTTTGTTTCTGTAATGCTAGCTATATCGATATCTTGTTCTTTGTAGTACTCTAGCCAAAGTTGTTTTTTTAAGTTATTATTTAGGCCTCGTACATTGTGAGTTATAATTTTTAAGTTGTTTTTTAGTGGATTGTTTTTGTTTTTGTTAGTACTTCTGTTGTTTTCTGTCATTAGTAAAAGATATTCCAGGATGATGCAGGAAGTTCTGGTAGATTTAGTAAATAGTTTGGAATTTGTGGTATCTCAAAGTACTCTTTAAGCTTATTAATCGTTAGTGTGATTTCTTGTTGTGTGGTGATAGGTAGTTCGATTTGGAGCTTAATTTCTTTATTTTCTATATGCTATTGGAGTTTAACGAGCGTAGGTAGGATTAGGGGCTTTGTTTTCTTCTCTGTTTAATTTTGTGTATTGTGTTGTCTTGGTTTAATATCGATCTACTCATCAGGAATTCTTGTAAAGTAATATGCAGTCCTAAGTAGTCTTGCTGTTTCAGTTAGTGATTGTGGTGTGTTAATGGGAATAGTTAGATTAAATTCTTAGATTTCTTTATAGTCGTGAGATAACAATAGTTTGTTAGTAGAGTTTGCAGTCATAATTTCTGCTGCAATTGGGAGTCTTATTTTGTACTTCTTTTCAGCAACTTTTATGAATTTTCTTGCTTCTTCATTGTTTGTTATTGGGTATATGAATTTGGTATTGAGATTGATTTTTTGAAGGTCTTTGGGTAGTAGAAGTCTTTGTTTGAAGTAGTCATTAGGTATATTCTTGAAAATATAGTATTCTTTTAGTATATCTTTCACTTCTTTGACTATGTACTCTTCTGTTGATAGATCTACTAGGAATATTTCACGAACTCGGCTATTGAGCTTATGGTATATTACAGGTAAGACTTCTCTTAGTGGCAGTAGATCAAAATACATTTTTAGTAGTTGCTTAAAACTGTAATGATCTCAGAGCTTTTGTACATGGTAGCAGAGTTGTTGAAGTTGGCTTCTGGTACGTATTGGGAAAGCATATTTCATCTCAATAGGTAGATCATAAGGTATTTTAGGGAGTTAAGGTAACTCTTTGAAATATGAATTAGGTAGATGACTGAAGTTGTAAATGATCCTCAGTGTAATTACTATGGCAGTCGTTTAAGACCTTTTTTTGATTAGTAGTTCGAAGGGTAGGATATTTTGTAGCTCTTCTGAGATTAGATTTGGCCTTTCAGAGAGTTCTTGAAGTTTTGCGCTTATTGCGTCTTCTATTACTTTTTGTGTTATAGTGTAGTCTTCAATTTTTTTGCTTTTATAAAATTTCTTGCATATTTTAACTCTTGGTATATTTAGTACTTGTTAAGTTTCTAGAAGTTTGTATTAAACAGGTGGCCAATCATAATTTTTTGTTGTAGTTTGAGTTAGATCATATCTCTTACTTTTCTGTTTAGCAAGGTAATTTTGTTAGTTTGTTTGTATATCTGTATTGCCTTTGTTTGTAAGTCAATGAACTTTTTTTGGTGTACTGGTGTTGTGTTTTTCTCTTGTGTAAAGGTTACAAAGAAGGCCATATCTTTGTAAATAAATTTTTTCTTTATTGCCTCAGGAATTTGAATATTAGTAGTTGTTGTATTGAGTTTGTATTCTATGTAGTTTTTTATTTCTTCAATTGTGTTAAGAGCTTGGATGATTTTATCGTAATTCTATGTCTCTGTATCGAATTCCTTTGTTATTACATTTTCTATTACTTTTTTCACATGTTGCTGCTAGTGATCTGTATAGTCTGTATCTGTTTCTAAATGCATACTATTTTCTAGATTTTGTTAGAGAGCTTGGCTATATGAAGTTTTCTTGCCTTTGGTTTTTTCCTCTTTAGCTGTTTCCTCTTAGTTGAGTTCAATATCTGGTGTTATCATACAAGGTGATCCTAAGCTTGTTATTTCTATAGTTATGTTATTAGTATTCCTAGTTTGGCTGTTAAATGTTTGGTCACTTTCTATTTCGATTATTGCATTATCTGATTTGTTAGTTGTAATTTTCTGTTTTTGTTGTTGTTGTCACTAGTGTATTGCAGATCTCCTGATTTGGTTTGAGTTGCTGTGATCTCGTCCGAATTGGTAATTGTTGTGTTGTTGTTGTTATTATTTTTTCTTACATGTGAATCTGTTAGGAGTAAGCCATTTTGCCCACTTTTTTCTAGATTTTCTATTCTGATATTGGGTTGCAGTGTATCTATAGTTTTACGTCTTTTGTTTT